CACCCTATCTTACTGTTTATGGTTTAGCTACGTTAAGGGTGCAGCATGGGCACAAATATGTCTGTGTATGTATGCCTGTTTCTAGAGATGGAGAGGGTGCAGGGAGAAGAGAAAGATTTATGTTGATGCCATTCTGAGAAACCTTATACAGAGATTTATGGGATCTGACAAGAGTAGCAATTGCATGCAGAAATGCCCTACCGATTGATTTTCTTTGACAAATGGTGCCCTTCCAGCCACGTCCTGGTCATGCCTAGCGCCCCTCACCTCAGAGGCCTCCCGTTCCAGGTGACAGGGAAATAGGTGACAGTGTCTCTCTGCTCATAAGGCTATTCCTCACTAATGTGTCTGAATTGAACTATAATGGAAAAGGCATCTGGTCTGAAGCTTTGAGTGTCATGCCATGAATTAAAGAAACAGCAGAATGCTGATTACAAGTCAAAACGGCACGTCTCTCTTCCCACCTCCACATGCCGATGCGCTGAAATTCCCCTCACAACAAGCTCGGCTCACAACAAGCGAACCCGGTGCCTCGTCCCCGCCGCCATCCTAAAACACCCACCGGCTCGTGCCTTTGAGACTTGCAGCGTGCCCTCCAGGTCAGAAGGTTGAAGCTCTTCGGTGTGCGCTGCAAGAGCTTATCACAAAGCTGCAGCCCCTACCTGGGTGAGGAGAGAGGAGACCTGAGCCAGGCACTTCCAGTGGCAGGAACATCCCAGAGCAGCTGAATTATTAAGCAGTGAAGCTTCTTGCCCTGTCTCTGTATTCCCAACACATGCTGTAGCGAGAGGAAAAGCAGGAAGCTTGTGTGAACAGTCAGAAAGTTTTCACAGGGAAAGTTTTATACCAGCAAAATAACAATTTTCAGTGGGAAAGAATAGCAGCAGGTTTTTTTATTCCATTTGTCCTGCTGCTTCTGTGTTTTTGGAAAGAAATGCTTAGTAGTAAATGACCGGGCAGATAATTCTCCACTTCCCACTAATGATCCAAGCCATAGAATGGGGGAAATAAAATGAATGGACGAGGATAGCTCCCCCAGGGTAGCGTAAATCCAGTTTCGAATACAATTGAACAGACGTTCTGCGTGGTATGTTCCTGGCAGCTAAATCTATTTGTTGTTGTGACAAATAAATGACAGTTTAAGAACCATTGAAATGGCCAGATAAAAGTGTGTTGTCATTTCAGCAGTTTGAAAGAGGTGCCAGTCCCACTTTGGAGGTTTGTCTTAGACTGCGTATATTTTTAAAAAATACATAAAAAGCTTTTTACCCTGTCACTAAGCAAGTCATAATAGCTTTTGACTTATGTATATTGTGCTTTCTCTTCTCTCAATCCCAACCAACAAAAAAGAGAAAGCATTGAAATGGAAATTTTGACTTCTAGCCTAAGCTTCAGTAAAGGAAAATGGCTTTATAGTGAAGTATTAACAGATTAGACAGACAGTGTCTTTCTTTTTCTCTCTCTCCCTTTTTTAGAGAAGGGAAACATTTCCTGGCTGTTTGCTTGGCTTTATCAGCAGCCCAAGATTTTAATTCCGTTTCTCTCACTGATGACGAGACTCAGGTGGTTTTTTTTACCCCCCCTCCGACACGAATTTCCTATGAAATCTTATTTCCTGAGTATGGCACTTGGTCAGTTAAACCCACAGTCGCCTCCTTTCTGGCCCCCATGTCTGAGTGCTTGTTCTTAGAGAAAATAGCCCAGAATAGTTCTTCCTCATGTAACTGCTGAAAGTCAGGCACCTGGCTGTAAGGAGCTTGAATTTCAGAGGTGCATGTTCTACCAAATCTCTCTGGATTTAATAGAGGTCCTCCAGTACTCCCTGAGAACTGAGGCATGTACTTAGGTGCCTAAATATGGATTGAGAACCTTGTTCTTAGGTACATAAATATCTTGGCCTAAACCCTTTCTCAGGTGCCAGAATCTTGGAGACCGGTCTGTTGTCTTGGTAGGACCAAGGCAGAGACCTTCACTGGAGGTTGGAACTGGCCCACCAGAGACCTCCAAGTTCCTCCCTTTGTTAGAAAACTCTGGTTTTATAGGCACAAATTGCCTTCGAACAAAGCAAATGCACTGTGATGAACAGTACTAGTCTTTTGAGCTAGGTGTTCTCCTTGGTAAAGAAGTACTTAAACTAAATCATATGAAGGTATCTGCATGTGAGCAGAAAACTCCTCTCTTGCAGCTTGTGCTTGATACAAACCCATTTTTAAGGGATCTTTTTTTGGAAAACATCAGACTGTGCTTACACACACAGTAACTAGATTTTTGATTTTTGCTAGTTCCTTTGGACAAAACCATCTTTTTTTTTTTTTTTTCCCCTAGCTGCAGAATAGCTCAGAATTAACTCATTGCCAAACTGGGAACAAAGGTGTCTGTAGCTTACTTTGGTTTGTGCTATCATCTCAACAATGTCTGTATTGAGGAAGACATATATCATGGGAAGGTAATAGTTGTGGGGAAAGCCAATAGGGAATGACTTGTTTCTGATGGTAAGAGAACAAATGAAATGAAGTGAGATCATCAAAGAGCAGCTTTAAAATGAAACATTCATCAGTTTTGTAATGTGTTGGTGTGGAGGAATCTAGCCTAAAATACATGGACCCACAATCATGTGCCTAATTTTAGGTGCCGGAGTGTTCTCACTGAACTGAATGATACCATCAGCCAGAGAGATGCAGAAACAAGGCCTAGGGTTTGAATTTCAGATCTGCTGTGCACTGAAGTGAAGTCACAGGAAAAAAGAGGATGCTCAAAATTCTGCCCAAGATCACAGCAAGATGACAGAGCAAAATTCAGCTTTTGATCTGTATTTCTTCTCTACTCAGAGTTTTCTGTATTACTGTAAATATCAGGAACTGGTGAAGGAAGCTTTAAGTTAGCCACATTTTCAATTTCTTTTTCTTTTTTAGGTATTTTCTTATCCGCTCACCCATATCCTGGAGGACAGAGTCAAGAACAAGTAATGTAAGAAAGTTCATTTGGCTGATGCCTGAATTGTTTAGCTTCAAAATGAGCAAACCAGATACTTGGAAACCATAAACCAGCCTAAATTACTGAATATCTTTCTCTAAATGATGAAAATGCTCTCTTCCTTGCCTTCATTCCCTCTATGCTTGAACAGCATTCTGCATGCCACAGAGCTGCTGATTCCTGTTAGGGTTTCTTTGCAGCATCCCATATAGATCTGGAGGTCACAGTTACAGCATCACACATTTTTGTGCTTTGGCACAAATGTAACAACAGTTACATAATTTTCCCTTTGGCCTTTCCAATCAATGCTATGGTACAGTGTTACGACTCAGTGCTGTGAGTCCCTTCTTGCTAGGCATAATTAACATCAGCAAAAGATGCTGGCACAGAATCAGGACCTCTTTGCTTCTGAGCTCTAAGCAATGCCTCTGCAGTGAAGGAAACCTGCCACTTTGACTCACCATGTACATCTTCTTCCACTTTCTCCCCAGGCTCAACAGCTTACTCGACATCATAGTTTCCATGTCTGTTTTGGTTGGCTACTCTATCACAACGGCAAGTTTTGTTCTCTACGTGGTAAAAGAACATCAAACCAAAGCCAAACAACTGCAGCATATTTCAGGCATTGGGATGACAAGCTATTGGGTGACTAACTTCGTTTATGATCTGGTAAATAATTCACATTCCTAAATGCACCAAGAGTAGCGTTACGCAGCAGGGGAAAAAAAGTTCTTTATTTAAAGTTGGTTGCCTAGACTTCTTAATATTATTACTACCAAGAGCGTTATGTAGTAATTGTTCTCCGAGGCATTGAAGACTATTAAATGTGAACCGCAACACTGGATTTTGCTAAGCGAAAGCATTCCTTCTCTCTCGAGTGTATGCAAAACACTCAGCACATTTATATGAGAGCAACACAGAACAGGCCAGAGCTTGATTTCAATTTTAACATGCAAGCCACAAGCTGCTTTTCTGTTAGCTTGCAGGGTTAGATTAGTTGTCATGCAGGCTTTATGCACCTGGGGTAAGGCTTTGGGGCTTGAGGCTACAGCCATTTTGAAAACCCTGGGAGTACAGGGTGTACATTAGCAGATGTCTCACAGCTGACACTCCCCTGTTGGGCAAAAATCCGTTGCTGGGTTGAATGGTCTCTTAAAGATTATATATTATAAAGAGGTTTTAAGCCAAAGAGAGCTACTAATGCAGCTATATGCCTTCCAGGACCTGAGCAAGTTCCTTTTGACAGTGCTGCACTGTGCTGTATAGATTTACCACCTTCTTTCTATACATAGTTGAGCTCCCCACCACTGTGCTGCCATGACGTGACTTAGGCATGCCCTTGTTCTCCCTGAAGTTAAGTTTCCTTGTTGTAAAGAGGGTTAATAGCACTGCTGGAAAGCATCGCTGGACTAAGAGGATAAATATGCACAGTGTCTGTAGACTAAAGTGCTTTGTGTCTTATGAATTACCTTCAGTGCATGATGTCAAACCATCGCACAGAGATCTGCAAGTGCAGACTATCTCTGCTCGTGAGCTTTGGCATTGCCAGCTATGCTGTAATGGTGATCAGCTCTACGTATCTGACAAATTTCTATTGATGCAGTTCTGCTAGTGCCTAAAATCCTAGTGATATCATCAGTTTCTGAAAATATGAAATCTTCAAGGGCATTTGAGTGGCCAGCCACCTTTGCAGTAAGGGCAAAGGACTGAAATTCCTTGGGGAATGTGAGCCTTGACTCTTCCTGCAGGGCACAGCCTAAGCTTCTAGGTAACACCGATGCACGCTAACAAAGCAGTCCTAACAGTACAGTTCTCACAGAATCACAAGGGTTGGAAGGGACCTCGGGACATCATCTAGTCCAACCCCCCTGCTAAAGCAGGTTCTCCTAGAGCAGGTTGCACTGGACATTGTCCAGGCGGGCTTTGAATATCTCCAAAGAAGGAGGCTCCACAACCCCCCTGGGCAGCCTGTTCCAGTGCTCCGTCACCCTCAAAGTAAAGAAGTTTTTCCTCATATTCGACTGAAACCTCTTATGTCTCAGTTTGTACCCATTGCCCCTTGTCCTGTCGCTGGACACCACTGCAAAGAGTCTGGCTCCGTCCTAGTGACTTCCACCCTTAAGATATTTGTATGTATTGATGAGGTCCCCTCCCAGTCTTCTCTTCTTCAGGCTGAAACTAAGTAGTCTAAACTGCCTGCTTATAGGGGCTGGTGTGATTAGGCAACAGCACAAGTATCTCCTGCCTGGCAGGGGGAGCTTGAAAGGGGTCTGAAGGCAGCATGGCTGCAGTCTGGCTTGGCAGAGCAGCCCTGAGTTGCGGCGCAGGGGTGAGGATGGGGCAGCACCGTGTCTGCTTCCCTGATCCAGGCCCTCACTCCAGCATTGCATATTTGCAAATCTGCCTGGGGAAAAATCCCTAGAGTCCTTGCCACAATCAGTATTCAGCGGGCTGAAACTAATCCAGTGCTGTCGGCAACTTGATATTTCTCAGTGAATCCCTGCCAGTAAATTCTGTTAAATCCCAGTGCTGGGGAAGAGAGGAGCCTCTCAAGGCAGACATTTGGAAGGTCCCTGGCTTGACTCAACATTATAAAGACTAGATTTACAGGGCACAACGAAATGGTCTGACTGCAAGGCTAACAGAAATCCCAAAGGGGTATTTTTCATTCACAACCTTTTTTTAAGACATTTTCTGCCCACAGTCCTGAATGTTGAGGCTTAGCCTATTCAAACTGGCTTTGTGGGAATTCATTTGCAAGAATCCCAAAAGTCTCAGGAGGACTGAGACCCCACCTGTATTTGGTTTCCCTTAGAAAACCCAGGCTGCACTTGTAGGACCAGATTCAGACCTTGCGTTGTTGCTTCTGCATAGTTCTAGAAAAATGTTTAAGAATTATCATTCTAATACCATCTTTTTAATATCATTTTGCAGGTACTTTTTACAGTCCCTATTGGACTCTCAATAGGAGTTATTTCATCCTTCCAGATACCAGCTTTCTGCAACAACAATAACTTACTGGCAGTATTTCTTCTGCTGTTACTCTTTGGGTAAGTGTGGAGCTTGGTTATTTAAATATCATTGCACAGAGTGAGGGACTGGATATTGCACGCTGCTGCAATTTGAGATCCAAGGGAGGAATACAAGGGCTTTTTTCTTCAACATGCACTTTACAAATGGTGACTAGTTGCTCCTTCCAGGAGCAGTGAGCTAAACTACTGTTGTCATGCCTGCTTTATTCAAAGCAAACTACGTAAGGATATGAAATATTCAAGGTCACAGTGACAGCCCAAGCTGTAAACAGATGCTTACTGAACTATTGCAAAGTTTGAGATACAGAAGCATTTCAAAATCCGAGAGAGAGGAAAAAAAAAAAGCCAGCAGCACAATTCAGGAAAACTTAGCAAAACTGTCTCCCTGGCTTTGAATCCTTCAGGCCCAGTCTGTCTGCTTTCAGTCAGGTCTCCATGTTCAAAGTATGTATCATTAACTTTTTCTCCAAATTCTAACAGATACAAAGGCATTTTTCCTTCTTTGAGCTCCTGTAACATGGAAATCTAGTCACGTGGCAAAACAGAACTGTGATGTCTGAGGTCTTTAGTTGTTTGTGTGCAATCGCACTTTGAGTTACTGTAGTATTCTCTGCACTGCTGGTGATTTATAGATATGCAACGTTTTCATGGATGTACCTGCTGGCTGGGTTTTTCAAAGAAACGGGAATGGCCTTCATCGTTTATGTCTGTGTCAACTTGTTCTTTGGCATCAATACCATCATTACTCACTCGGTTGTGTTTCTGCTCTCCCAGGAAAAAGCCATGGACCAGGTAGGAACCCTGCTAATACTAAGCCCTTGGTGAAACAACAGGAGGCTTCCTCTTGAGTTTGGTGGGTTTGATCAGGTCCTTAGCAACTGGCTGGCTTCAAGATATTTGAGGTAGACCAAGCAGTAGTCACAGTAGGACAGTAGTTGCAGGACTTAATGGGGTTCCCTGTAGACAGGACATGAGTCAAATGCGAATCTTGCTTCTCTGGAAATCTGCACCCCTGGCAAAGGTGGAAATGATGGTGACAGAGGGGAGAGTACAGAAAGAGAGGCAGAAAACTGCCTGTGCAGAGAAGGGCAGGAGGTGGGTGTACATGTTTGATAAAAAGCTGATGGGCACTTTGAACCATTGCTGAGTTCTTGAAGCACGAACTGTGGAGAGTGACAGCTAGATGTCACTGCCCTGAGTCTGACATGTGCCACATTAAGCCCAGCACCGTCCGTCTGTCATCTAGATCTGTAATGCAATCATCTTCTCCCTGCAAGGATGAAAAATTACTCAGAGACAGTGATGATTCCCTAAAGTAAAGCCTTCTTTTAAACTGAGATATCCCTGGGAATTACTGGGATAAAATGCACACCTTACATTTAGCTTTCTTTTTTTATGAAGGGCAATTACTTTGTAAAACAATAGCTGGGTTGGATTTTTCTCTCTAGCTGGACAGTGCTTGTCTAGCACCCCCCTGGATTTTAGGGATGTGCAATTATGATCATCTTCCATCCCTCTGTGCCCCAGTGGCAGGGAGTCAGTCTCTTTCTGTGCTAATTTACTCCCTCTCCACTTTGCTGTGTGCAGTAATCCTTTCTTCTGCTAGAAATGTCCCAAATCTCTATGCACGAGAGTTTGTAAGTGTGAGACTGCCCTTCTACATCTATTAAAACCAAATCTTGTGTTTTATGGAGATGTTTCTCCAAGGAAAACATATAGGACAGTTCTCCAGAGGAGTGGGATTGGTGAGTGGGCTGTGCCCGGCAGTGGGCTGGTGCAGTGGCTCTGTAGTTTTGGGAGGCACAGTGCAGCTCAGATGCAGGATTCAGCTCTGGCTCACGGGTCGGTTTCGGGCTGCTCCATGCACAGGGCAAGGCGTCTGGAGCAGCAATGAGGGACTGCGCTGGGAACTGGCTGCTGTTTACTATGGGTGATCACAACCTCAGAGCTGCCTGTTGACTTTTCTGACCTTATGCCCGTGTGTGAAACGAGCTGTCTCCAGAGCTCTTTGCTCTCAATTTATCTCTGCTCTGAGACACGAGCAAATCCCAACGTAATTGTTACACTTCAGTCCTACAGTAAAACCTATGAATTTATTCCATGAATAAAAACAGTGACTGACTGTGCTGCTTTTGGGGTTTTTTTTCAGGGCTTGCATGATCTCGCTGAAAACTTAAGGCATGTGTTCCTTATGTTCCCACAATTTTGCTTTGGCTATGGCTTGATCGAACTGTCGCAGGATCAGGCACTGGTGGGCTTCTTGAAAGCCTATGGAGTGGACTACCCTGACAAAACCTTTGAGTTGGACAAGACCACATCCAAGCTGTTTGCCATGTTTATCCAGGGCACCGTGTTTTTTGCCATTCGTCTTACAGTTCACGACAGGATGATTCAGAGACTCTGGAACAACATACTAGAGTAAGTAACATCTGGAGTCTCACAATGAAAACAGACCAAAACGGCGCTCCGTGGTTTAATTCTGGGCTCTCACACCATCGTTATAAATTATGAAGCCCATAAATTTCCAAGACACTTTTCAAACACGGAGTAAGTTTTCTCTGGCAGCAGTCCTGGTACCTACCAGTAATCAGAGTATTAACTAATAAGAGGGATAGGTTACTGGAGTCCCTTGGTAGTCCCTGCTGGCTGAGACTATGGCCCTCATTTCAGGGCTCTGGGTTTGGCAGGCTGATGTTCAGCTGGCGGGTAAGAGCAGTCAGTCCATAGACAGCTGTTTGAATCTCCTTGTCTCCTCTGGCTTGGGTGCACACAGGGAAGAGTGAGAACAGCCCTGTCACCTGCATTACAAGAGGGTTCACAAGGCAGGACCTCCTCCAGCTTGGAATATTTGCTGAAAAAGAAGAAAAAAAAGAGTCAGAAAGAGAACACTGGGTTTTTAAATTCCCTAAATGGTGCAAATATTGGGAGAGGAATAGAAACTGTCTGTATATCTGTATTTTTTGCATGCCCTGGGATCTCACAGCAAGGCTCCTTAGTATCCCAAGCACGCAGGCCCCCACTGCTGTCTGCTTGCCAGAGTGTAAGGTTCCCCTCTCTGCCCTCCCCAATAGGTTCCTGTTTGACAGAGTGCACGGCAAAGCATCGCTTCTGTCAACTGCAGTGGAAGAGGATGGGGATGTTCAGGCAGAGAGGAACCGGGTGGAGTCTGGCAAAGCTGACTTTGATGTGGTGCAGCTCCAGAATCTCACAAAGATCTACCACCTTCCTCACAAACGCATTGTGGCTGTGAAAAACATCAGCCTTGGGATTCCTGCCGGAGAGGTAAACGAGGGGAAAAGGCTGAGGGCACCTTCTGCCCTGGGGAGGGAAATTGGAACAGATCCACAGTGCCATCTGTTCTCCCAGTCCTTGCTGCTGTCCCATCACGACTGTGGTGGCTTGTTCTGCTCTGACCTCTTCCTTCCTTCCTTTGCCCTGTTTACTGATTCTTGGGGTTATGGTAGCAACTAAAGGCTCCTGGTGGATTTGGGATGCCAAGTGGTAGTTTGAAGGCCCTAGAAAGAGGAAAAGTGGATGGGACAGTAATGGAGCTATATTCAGAGCAAAATGTCTGCATGCTGTGTTTGTACAGCACCTAGCAATGAAGACAGCAGAATTTGTCCAGTTACAATTACCTGAACTGCATGGGAGACAGTGAGTCAGGCTTATCTGCTTGTATTTCCCATCAGGGAAAGACAAATCACTGCAGCTGAACACACAATTTCATGAATCAAGACTTAAAACTAACTCTAAGAAAAAAAAAAAGATTCTGTGGTCATGTCAGTGCAGTTACTTGCAAAAACACTGACTCAGGAGAAGAGAAAAAGACAGGAGTGTATGGAGCACCTCTGAGACCCAGAGGAAAGTCCATGGGGCCTCTGGAGACCAGATCCTGCCTCAGGCTGTGCACCTGACTTGTGGGGAAGCTTGGAACTACTCCTTGGTACCTGATTTTTTTAATTGCCTGGGTCCCACTGCGATACTGGGCATATGAAAGGATGTAAGGGGCTGGGCAGGAGGACAGCAGCCTCACGTGGAGACTGGCGCTGATCTTTCTGGCAGAGGATTTTTTTCCAAGCCACAGCTGGCATAGAGGTTTCTAGCTTCTGGCAAAATTCAACCTGATGCTGGTGTCAGCAGGGGTCATGGCCCTGCACCACAGACTGTGCACAGATACTGTTCCTGCATGGACCTCAGGGTGGGGAAGGGCCTTGGATCGATGCTGTGCATCTGCAGTGGGCTCAACATGCGAGGATTTTCACATCAGCTGGTCAGTACTGACAATACCAAAACAATAGTAATTATCAGCACAATGGTAATTGCTTATGCGACACACAACTGCGTATCTCCAACCTTAGCAATAAAACATAGATTTTAGCATGAGATACTGAACTGCACTACAGGGAGCCAGTTCTTAATCTTATTAATGTAGTGCATTAGTGAGATTATTTGACAAAAATCTTGTGTCACATTAAGGTTTTACCAATGGCAGCACAAACCTCACTCACCTCATACCTATGAATAGCTCTGTTCCTGTCAATGGGAGGCTTCGCACAAATTAGATGATCAGGATTTGGCCTGTCAGATGAGCTCGCTGCAAAAATGCACCTTGCAGTAAACGGAATGACTCTATTAGAGACACATCCTTGATTCTTCACCATATTAAACAAACGGTCCTAATATAAGCTGCAGTATATTGCACCATAAACAACCTCCATTATAACCTTCGTATGCTCTGAGTGCCTCTGCTGCTCTTGCAATTCGTCTTGCTCAAGGGTCCAGAGAAAATAAGAGACAAGATGCACTAAGCAGTCATCTTGGAGCAATATTTCTGTATTATAAATACAGCATGGTTACATTTCTACCTTTCTTTCCCATAACCCAGTGCTTTGGCTTGCTTGGTGTGAACGGAGCTGGAAAGACGACCATCTTTAAGATGTTGACAGGCGATATCGGAGCATCCAGCGGAAGGTTGCGGGTCCAGGATCATTCTGGGTATGGAAGATGTGATTTCTGGGGAAGGGGCTTGAGCAAATCAGCCTGGGAGCAGTTTTTAAGGCCGGATGGTGAAGGAAAAGAAATGTAAAAGTCTGAAACAAACCAAAACACTCAAACCAGAGCAAAAATAAATAAGGCAGGGAATTTCATCCTTTGAAGACGGTATGGTTGCTTCCCTAGGGTTTGCATCTTGCTGTCATACCTCTGCTGTTCTCAGTGGTGTTTCTTTCACTTCATTCCATTGCAAACGGGATCAGACTCAGGTCCTCAGCTGAGTGTGATTCCACTTCTGAGCTAGTATCTGGAGACCAGCAGGACTCATCTCAAAGCACTCTTTGACAGGAGTAGGCTTGGTGGCAGCTGTGCTGTCTGAAGTGCTGGTGGTAATTGGAGAGCTATTTACTAGACATTGTGGCTAACAGATATTGCAAATATAATTCTTCCTTTGCAGAACTGAGGGCCTAATAGCTGAAGGTCTGCAAATTCATAGCATTTTCCTTCAAGGGTTGGAGAAAGGGTTAGGAAGTGGGAGAAAGGCTGTTTGTTTTGGTTTTTTTCTCTCTTCTGTCTGATTCCAGAGTGCATTGGCAATTTGGTGTGTTTAAAATGACTTGCTGACTTCCTTACACAGGTCCTTGAATGACATCAGTGAGGCACACTGGTCACTCTTTGGCTACTGTCCTCAAGAAGATGCCTTGGATGACTTGCTGACTGTGGAAGAGCACATGTATTACTATGCCAGGCTCCATGGCATCCCAGAGAGAGAGATCAAAGGAGTGAGTAATGCTGGGGCTTGACTTAGAGCATTTTCCAGTTATTGAGAGCCTTTAAATTGATTTAATTAGTCTTTCAATAAATAGATATGCGTGTGGTAATTTATGCCTGGACATTGTTGTGAAAGCTGTACTCTTGTTCCCATAGGTTGTACTCCAGCTTCTCCACCGTCTGAATCTGATGGCCTACAAAGACAGAGTCACCTCTATGTGCAGTTACGGCACTAACAGAAAATTGTCAACAGCTCTGGCTCTCATTGGGAATCCATCAATTCTGCTGCTGGTGAGAAATGGGGGGCCTTGCTGGGGGGGAAGAGGAGCAGATCTCTGGGCTGGCAGAGGTACTTTGACAGTCTAGCAAAACCTTCTCAGGCCCAGCTTGCAGGACACTCCCCCAGTTGCCGTATTTAGCCTGACAACATATGCATCAGAGGAAAGTTTAGATTTCAGCAAGCACCCAAATATTCTTTAAGGGCATAAGGGAGTGGTGAGTCTGCCAGTTTCTCTGTTAGCCTCTTTCAGAGGTCAAAAATAGATCCTATATTTGCCAATTAAATTCTCCTTGTTACCAGAACTTTCTTGGTTTTTTTGTATCAACTACCCTGCACAGTGCCGCAAGAAAAGCGGCATCCAAGGCTCCAAATCTGTAGAAGAGCAAAGGAGCAACTTCCCTCCAGATTAGAACATAAAACTGTTTTTCTAGGTTTGGTTTCCCCTTTTGTCTTTCACTTTGAACTTTCCCGTTCTTCCATGAGATATGCCCTTGTTAAAATATACCTTTTTGTGCAGTTTTTCAACTTGCTGTGTTTTGAATGTGTGCAGTGCTCTGTGAGCAGGTTTCCCAATATTAAATCTGATATCTAGCGGACATAAATCTCCCTTACCCCAACTTGTATTAAGCCCAGCACTACCGCCTTTAATTCCGATCACATACACCAGCCCTTTAGCTGCTTTTGTGACATAAAAAAATCTCAACAAAAATAGAAGGTGGGGAAATTTCCTCTGTACTGACTGCTGCCTGAACCCAAGCTGTTTTATTTCTGCTTTACATAAGGCGTTATCCTCAACAGTAACAGACTGTCAATCAGAAATTGGCTAACAATTTTATCAGCATTGCGTAAGATAGGAGATAGTGTACCATCTTTCATCTCTGGCTTACTGTCACTCTGAATGGAGAAATGCAGCACATGCTTCGTGAGCATATCGAGAGGGAGGCAAAGCGCAGGTGCACATGGAAACCAAGTGCCAGTTGATAGCTTCTTGTCTGAGGTTATGCCTGTGGTGTTTATGGATGTTTAAAACACTGCATGGTAGGGTTGACCTGAGATGGTGCTGTCAGAGCCAGTCAGTTCCTCTGGAGTTCAACAGAGGTTGAGAGTTCCCACCAGTCACTGGGGGAGCTGTGCAGTTCCAAAGGGCGGTGAGGATGGAGGTCTTAGTCAAGCTGACTTGCTTCTACTTGAAGGGGGCATAGAACATCTCAGTCAAATCCATAACGCAACTGAAGATAATCCCTCTCCCAGGTCTGTACCAGTATAAGCCCTCCTGTGGGTCCTTACTAGCAAATGTAACACCAACGGTGAACCTAAAAAGAGCACAAGTGTTAGAGAGATCAGATTCTGAGTGCAAATTTACATTCAGTCCTGTCTTTCCCAATAGGATGAACCGAGCTCTGGAATGGATCCAAACGCTAAACGCCACCTTTGGAAAATCATCAGTGAGGAAGTGCAGAACAAATGCTCAGTGATACTCACATCCCACAGGTAGGGCAGGTTTGGCTCTGTCTCTGTTTTCAGGGTCTGCAGGAGGTATGGAGAGGCCTGTCCTTCACAATCCCCGTTGGTCCTTGCAGAATTTCAGGGCACCGAGCTATGACAGGTTTGGAGGTTTGTTGTGGCTGAATGTGGGTGCCCACAGAGAGCCACAACACTTTAGGGAAGATCAGTAATGTTCTCTGATTACTAAAATAACTATTTTTTGTTTATACCGTCTCAATGCGTTATTAGAGTTTCTTGGTTGGTTTTTCAGCATGGAAGAATGTGAAGCCCTCTGCACCAGGCTGGCTATTATGGTGAATGGGAGTTTTCAGTGCATTGGCTCTTTGCAGCATATCAAAAGCAGGTCAGTAACGCGTACCTATTTCACTTTTACTGAACAGCATAGGGATTTACTAACATACTGTCCTGGTTTTGGCTGGGATAGAGTTAATTTTCTTCCTAGTAGCTGGTATAGTGCTGTATTTTGGATTTAGTATGAGAATAATGTTGATGTTTTAGTTGTTGCTAAGTAGTGCTTACACAGAGTCAAGGACTTTTCAGCTTCTCATGCTCTACCGACTGAGAAGGCTGGAGAGGCACAAAAAGCTGGGAGGGGGCACAGCCAGGACATCTGACCCCAGCTGGCCAAAGGGGTATTGCATACCCTATGATGTCATGCTCAGCATATAAACTGGCGGAAAGCTGGCCAGGGGGCCACTGCTTGGGGACTGGCTGGGCATCGGTCAGCAGATGGTGAGCAACTGCATCATGCATCACTTGCTTTGTATATTATATTATTGCTGTTACTATTTTATTTTATTTTATTTCAATAAACCCACTTCTACTCTTCCAATTCTCTCTGCCGCCCCATTGGGGGAGGGGAGAGAGCGAGCGGCCGTGTGGTGCTCAGTTGTCGGCTGGGATTAAGCCACGAGACCTACAGCTTTGAGGGCTCAGAACATGAGACCTTTGTTAATAGGGCATCAAAATAAAGTCATTTTCTGGTTTATGTTTCTTACTACACCATTGAAATTCTGTGTTAACTAATGCACTTTCCACTCTCTCACAGCCTTTTTTCCCAGAGATGTGTTCCCCAAAGTAATCTGTTCACTGCTGAAAATGTGAAATGCATGTTAGGGTTGAGCTTCAATTTTATTAGTTATCACAATAGCTCAGCTTCTTATTAAGATTCACTCCAGGTTAACAACCCTGACCCCATTCAAGCTGCACTCTGCCTGGATTAGATTTCCCCAAAGAGGCTGTGCAGCACTCTCAAAGGATTTTTTTGCTATGTTTCTCTTTCCTACTGTGTTAATTGTGATTTTCTTTTTCCCCTAGGTTCGGAAGAGGCTTCACTGTGAAGATGCACTTAAATAGCAACACAGTTAACACCGAGGCACTGACAGAGTTCATGAAGTCACACTTCCCAAATACATGCCTGAAGGTAAGCAGGACAAATACTTTTGGGAGAGGCCCTCTCAAGCCCTTCAAATTAGCCAAGAGGGTATTGCAAGGTAGACATCTTGTAACATACTGTGCACGTAGATCCGTGCTCTCAGAGTGTAAGGGATTCATACACACACACACACACACACACACACACACACACTTGTCAATGCTGTCAGACACTGGGTTGTCCAAGGGTTGGAGCACCCAAGTTCCTTGGTGGCTTAAATAACCTCGGCCAAACAGCTGCAGTGATCCTGTAAGGCAGCTGTTAGGCAACCCTCTGCCCTACGTATGGTCCCACTGAAGCCTGGACTGCATGGAGACGCACTTGATATTCAGTGGGTAACGAGATGGCCGGGTGCTTCTAGTAACTGAATGACTGTAAAACCAGAGTAACTTGGTTAGTTAGTAACTGAGTCGCTAATCCCATCCATTGTCCGTAACCCAATCTCTGCATTAATCGAAAGAGCAGACTTGGAGCTGGAAGATGCTATGGCTATCCTCAAGCTTCCAGCTCTGGGGTTTAGTTATCATCTCCTGATGACAAAACCCACAAAAACTTCCAATGGGGAAACACCAGTCAATACTGGACAATAACATTCCTCACCTTTGGGAGCCAGAAGGAGAGAACACACCCTCTGCCCCTTCATTTTCCCATGGCTCAGGTCCTCCTTGCTTTTGTTCTCAGCCAAACAGCCAACAGATTTGTTGGCTTTTCATAGGCAGCAACCTCTTAACTTTACCTCATCATTCCTGTTCCCACAGGATCAGCATTTCAGCATGGTGGAGTATCACGTTCCAGTCTCTGCAGGAGGGGTAGCAAATATATTTGATCTCTTGGAAGCCAGCAAAGCAGCCTTCAATATCAGGCACTTCTCAGTGAGTCAAACAACGTTAGAGGAGGTAAGGCATTAAAGATGTGTGGCCATCCATTTAGAGCTGTTAACAGGGGAGCAGACTGATGGTTACGTATAATGGATTGCTGCACACAATAGACTACATTTTGAAAGGGATTTCCATCTGTATTCCTCCTGGGGATACTTTATCAGTGCTACTGCCTCCAGATACCTGTGCTGGTGCTAGGAAAACACACATAGAAAGCTGCCTGTAGCATAAAGGATCTGTTCTTCCCTCTGTGACTGCTGATTTCAGCAGCCTCATGGATGTGGATGAAGGGCAGGATTATGAATCACCCCTGAGTCCAGTACTAGGCTTCCTGGCGGTGGACTTTTCCCACCAATCCTGCAAATTTGCTTGATTTCACTCATTCCTGTGCTTTATTTGGCTGGTAAGTTCATTTAGCATTACTCCAAACCTAGCTTCATAGTTAAGTTCCTTCCATTTTCCCTTGGAACGACATTCCCACTGGCATCAAAATCTTGTAGGAAACACATCAGCTGAAGGGAAGCCACAAAGACTATCCAGAAGAAATCACCCTGTTGAGCACCACCATCTGAAATGTTAGGTCCCTTCTGGAGACAGGAGCAAAAACTGCAGCCCTGTAATCCTGCGAATTATTAAACAGAGATCTGGAGGGAGGAGGTCCTCAGTATTGTTTTAATAAGGGGCAGTGGTGAGAGAAAGGGGCAGACAAACCGCAGGAAGCCCCCAGCCATATTCTGTGAGAGGACAGCTTGCATTTGTGTATATGCAAATGTGATTGCAGGTAGTGTTCTAGTAAGAATATTTTATGTATTCATTAGATACTGTTCAAACAAAGACTGTTATGTGTGATTATATATACCTATTTATATAATACGCAGTTGTGCGTGCACGGATGTCAATTATATATAGACAGATGGGTTTATAAAGTAATAATATAGCTGTATTACACTGTGATCAAAACGAGCTAGCAGGCAGGTATTACCTTGCTAGTACTTTTGAAACATGACCTGCAGGACAATGAGGTTTTGTACAGGAATGTCTGCCTCTGCATCCTGGGTGTCAATTCAGCGGTACAGGAGTGCGCATCCATTTATTTACATTAGCCTGTAGAAGCCCAGCATTCGCAATTCTCAAATCCAGTGTGAATCCATTCCTGAGCATTCTCCCCAGGCTCACAGTCAAATGAACAGCCATTTCTTCTTTATATTCTTTCATATTATGAATTCCTTTTGCTGTCACATACTGAATGTTTTCCTTTAAACTTCTAGGTTTTCATCAACTTTGCTAAAGATCAAGCAGATCCTGACAGCATGGATGCAGGTCCTGATGTGACACTGGACAGCTCTGACACAAGTAGCCAAGATAGCACCACAAGCTCCATCTATTGAAGGGACCCAACCACAGGGGATTGTAGAAGCTGGGGAAAAGACCAGATGAGCCCTTGGGGTTCTTCCAAGCCCTGTTTTCTATGATTCTGGGATGGTGGGGATAAAAAGGCAGATTTTCTTAAAGTACTTTTTTTTTTTATATGCACTTATTTTGTTATTAGGATCACGGTAGGCATTTAAAACTGCCATTTGGTTGCAAATCAGATTGGTCTTTCCACAGATTCTTTTTTTTTTTTTTTTTTTTTTCTTCCCCAGTTCTTGTTTTATGATCACTTTTAATGTAATGCCTGTGAGGAGTTAGTTGACATCACCTGCTGCTTGTGGGCATTTGCTTACAGGAGAAATGGCCGTGATGCAGGCAGAGGAGCTGTTGGCAGTGCAGGGTGTTTGACAAAAGAGCAGCCCCACGGCCACCTTCTCTGGAAGCCCATGCTCCACTCCCTGCTCAGCAACAGGCTTTCTGGGTGACCATGAGAAATTTGCTCAGTTTTGACAGGTTCCCCATGGGTGGAATGGGGTTCACAGCCTTGCCCTACCTCACGGGGGTGTTGTGAGGACATAGGTGTTATGTACTGAGAGTCACATATGCCATTGGTGGGGGCCGTCTTTGGTAATGACTTAAAGCTTATCTGTATGTGTGGGTTATGTCAGTACAAATATAATTATTGTAGAAGTCACTACTTCCAGTGGTTTTGGTTTGTTCCTGCAATTTAGCCCCAAGGAGTTCCTAGCTTTTGGTACCCAACAGAAGATCATTCCACCACCCAGCCTCTTTCTTCTTCAGTGCTTCTGCATTATGGCAGAAGAATGGTATGAGGCAGGTATATTGGTCAAATCCTCTGCTACAAAGTTTGCTTCGTGAGGTTGTGCTTCCCTGAGCAGAGTAAAAGCAACGAGCATCTCCCTTGCTCAGAAAACCTCCCTCTCCCAGGAGGCTCTGCCTCTCTGCTGCCTTGTCAGTGACCTTCCTCCTCAACTCACGAGTGGTGGCTGCCCCTGTAACTCTAGAGCCGTGTTTTCCCACATAATAAGGCGTAATTAGCTTCTCCCTCAAAGGCTTTGCCTGCTGGCTTTAAATGAGACCGCTGCCTACCTTTGAGCAGCAGCCCCTCAGTAGCTGAGTTCAGCACACCAGCACGCAGATTCTGCTTTTTTTTTATCCCACGGTCATTAATAGGCAGAAGAGATTCATATTACTCTTTATTATACGTATCAGCATAAGGCCTCAAAGACTCAGTTTTGGGACAGGGCATTGAGGTACATGGCGCTATTCAAGCACATAATGAACTTAAACTCTTTGAGCTCAATAAACTACTGTTGCTGGTAAAAGAGGTTGCCGAGAAAGCCAGGTTGTACTTGCCTGGGAAGGCCCATTCGGCACTCGAGTGTGGGTGCACACACACAATTCCAGCCAGAGGGGCTTTTTTTTTTGCCTTCTCTCCCCCACCCCTGCCCCAAGCTAATTTGAGCCAAAGGAAACTTTAGAAGACGGCTGCAACGACACATCTTTCTCACCCTGGTCAGCAGAGCGGTTTTACTCTTTCAGATCACATTTGATGCTGAGGCTTGCTGAGATAATCACGCAAGGAATAGGTACTTTAAATATCAAGGGTGTTTGGGATTTTACAGTGGGATGCTGAAGTTTAGAGTTTAGCTACTGCAAGGAGGTCACGTTTTCTCCTTGATCTTGGTGTAAACAACGTACTGATGGCAGGAGGAATTTTATTATGGGTTCAAAGGTATTATCAAGCCCTGAGTTATGCCTCAACCTGCTGACTGTAATTAAAACTGGAATTCAGCTTCTTTCCAGAATGCATTTGACACCTGCAGTTTATAAGTAACTGAAAAAGCTGCCCAGACATTCATTGTAGCTTCTATTATTATGTCTCCAGCTCTGCAAAAGCTCTTTTTTTCTCATTTTCATTGCATATCTTATACAGATCGCAGTATAAAATTAAGCTTTCCTCTAATGGAGGGCTTGCGCTCCCTGCAAAGGACTCGGAGCATGAATGCCAATGATTTAAATGCAGCCTTGTAATACCAATCAGAGTATTATTTTATTATGTTGATGGCTTTGCAACTGCCAGTGAAAGATGGATCTTCAGACTCTGTCCAGATGTACTTTAGATTTAATTGAGGGAGACTGATACAAAGCTATTCTTTTGTCCCTTTAGAGCTTACTAATCAAAAAAAAAAAAAAAGGGAAGTGATTCATTGGAATAATTCAGCAAGTTGCATCCTTTGAATTTCCACCCAGTTCTGGCATTAATAGAAACATCTGCTTCACACGAAATGTGTCATGGCCATGATATATGCTCCCCGTTTTCACTTGCAGGTAAAAATAAAACATCTGCTATTGCAACCAAGCCTGTAGGTGTTGGTCCAAGCAAGCCAAAGTTTACATACTTAAGGGAATTTAATTGAAACCTGTGGAGGAGCAGTTACAACTGTTCAGGGGGTTGAAGCATCTGGCAAGGAGGTTGTATATAACATCACCGGGGGCTGAATTACCTTTTGTGCCACATTACAACTGTCCCTACTCCCTGCAGAGCCTCCAAGATTCAACCCGTCCCTTCTGGAGATAGTATGTGCCCCAGGCTCGATTCCGGGATGCTATATGTGGTGGCTGATACTATCCTGCCTCCGAACACCAGCTCCAGGTTTCTCATCCCCCCTTTGCCTCCCTGAGGAGGGCAGATAATGGTTCCAGGGGTCACCAGAAATACAGATCCCTGCCTCAGAAAACAACTGATAAAATTTGTCTTAAAGATTATGAGCATGCTGTGCACATCAGGGGAAGGATGAGGACGCTCCTCAGTCTTCAATGCTTGCGGTAATCTTCACCCTGCTGATGTACGGGTGTAACAGCAGGTGCCCCCCATTGTCAGCCCTCTCTGAATCCCCTCAGAAATTTTTGCTTTACATGACTCTGCTGTCAAAAAAAGCCAGGCAGCCAACAAGCTCGGTCTTTTCTTTGGTCTGAGCAGGGAGGTAAGATCACTGAAAACACTGACCCTGGTGTCCCCGGAAGGGACAGAGGAGCACTCTGCGTACCACTGCACATCACCTCTCTGGGAGCGAGAGATGAATGCTGCAATCCGGGGGGAAACCAAGCTTTTCATCTTGCTTCTTTAATCCAATCTCACTTCAGCCACCCTAATAACCCTTGTTCGAGGCAACAGGGAACACCAGTGCTGGGCAAGCCCTGCCGGAGCGATCACGCAGCTCGTATGTGTTAATTGGAACTGCGTGGGCCTCAACTGAGCTTAATTTAAAAACGCTCTAAAATATTACAGACACAAGGTATACACAGTGCAATCGCTAAACAAGCCCAGGGCCAGGGAGTCAAGGAGGAATTTCATAATTGGTTATGTGGATTGTGAGACTGATTCAAATCAGTTTTGTAATTGGAGCTGTGGACTTGGAGACGAGGATTCAAATCTCCATCCTGGCCCTCCTTCATTTATCACTCTGCGCTGCTGACGAGAGTGCAGTGCTTCTCTGGCCTGATCCTTGCGTTGCTTTGGTCTCAATGCAAACGGCCACTGAGGGCTGAACCTTGCAGGGTCAGAAAAGGTCTGGCAGGGGCTGAGGAAAGGTGTCTAGAAGGGCCAACATTAAGCAACAGTTCTCCCAGCCCTGACCGCTACCGTAAATATAAATTTGGAGTCTAATTGGATTTTTTTTTTTTTGTCCTTTCATGAGAACCTCAGGAGTGGTTTTGTTACTGGATCGGATCAGAAAACATGTTTACAGGTCAAATGAACACGTCCAGGTAAACATAACTCAGTGACTAGTGAAGCGCAGGAGCAGGTGATGCCCATAGACCTGCTGCCCGTGAGGAGTCACTCCTGGGATCCAGGATTTGCAGGATGTGACCTCGTAACAGGCTCAGGATGGGGCCCCAGCCTGTCGTAGGGGCTTTGGCTTCCTGACACTGCTGCAGTTTCACTGAAGCTGCTGTGAGGTTTTTTTGGCTTTTTACAAGCCAAGAAAAATGTACGCTTCTGCACTTAATAGAGGAAGGGGGTTTTTGTGAGCTGGTGGAGGAAGAAAAATGATTGTTGGATGGCAACAGCACATAGCACGATTTTACTCTTTTTTTTGTTGTTGTTTTGCAGACAACAGCTGTGATCTTGCATAGCTATAACAGAATATCAACAGTGTATTAAAAGAGAACGCAACAGAGAAAAGAAGCAGTGGGGGATGACAAAAAAAAAATGAATTCACCAGAATTATTATTCCACGACAGTATTTAAATAAAAAAAAATCACTCTAATTAATTTAGTTGTTCAGGGAGAGGGTGGAAATAAGGAAGATGGCACTGAAATAGTAAGAACAACATTAGTATGGGACACAGCCAGCGCCAACTTACTGTTGGCTCTGTTCCTCATGCTACTCGCATACGCAGCACTGGTAATGAGGGAGGACGATCGGCCCCGCGGTGCTGGGGTGGAGCGTAGGGAGCACGGTGCATTTCGGGCCAGACCAGGTCCCCCAAAATACCTGTAGCAATGGGGGGAGCTGCATAAGGCAGTATCAATATTTCGGGATTGGGGCCTGACCTGTGTCACGGTACAATCCTGCAGCACCTGAAAGCCAGCACGTGCCAAAACAGGGGACCGTCACAGTGGCCACATTCAGCCCAGGGTGGAGCAAAGGTACAGCTTGTGCTTGCAACCCGCGGAGCAAAGCTTGAAAACAGGCGCCTCTCCACAGCGCTCAGTTCCTGGGGGGTGCAGCCCCCCACTTCATTCCTAACTGCTGCTAGAAGAGACTTTTGGAAATAGGCCATTGCCAGGGAAAGCAATTCTCAGGGCCCCGTGCTGGGAGACAAGAGAAATAAATGGTGGTGCTCCCACAAGCTTTAAGGCTCAAAGCAACAATCTGATCATCTACTCCAGCCTCCAGTTTAACGGAGG